ATGAAACTTTCAGCATATGATCTACATATTATATTAAATATTTGAGAAATTTAAAAAAATGAAAAATCATTCACAATTAGCTATAGTGGCATCTGGCTTGAACTTGAATATTTTTACTCGATAAAAACATAACGGGATGATTTATCGAATTTTAAAAGCAAACTCGACGTCCGCGCTGTATATACGGTCATTTAAAAAAAAATTGAAGTCTCTAGCTCTTATATCTTCGGAAATCGACGCGTTCAAACATACGGACAGACGGACAGACGGACAGACGGATGGACGGAGTAATAGCAATTTCAATAATTTTTCGCGTCTTTCAGCTTACACAAGAAACACGCACACACACACACAAACACACGCACGCACACACAGGCATACATACACACACACACACACACACACACACATACACACATACACAAACACATACAGACACAAGCATAAACAGGCATGGGCACAGTGTGCGCTTACTATGAGAACTTAATTGTTTAATAACTTTTTTTGTGGACATACGATCTTCATGCAATTTATTATAGATTTATTTATATTAGATTATGATTATAACATAGATATGCATGTATTTGCCAAAGCTCAAGTCTCTAGTATTTGATATACGCTTTTTTCAAACATGGTGGTGAGGGGGTGGATATAGGGGTGGGGGGTAAATTTTTAACAAAAACCGAAATTGCATAAATTACATATAAGCATACATAAAAAATTTGGAGACTCCAGCAATAAAGGTGTAGGAGATATAATTTTATAACTGGTTTTCGATAAGGTTTTTTATCGATAAAAAGATCGGAATGAGTTATCGATTTTTAATGATAAACTCGATATCCGCGCTGTAATTACGGACATTTAAAAACAAGTACGAAGACTCTAGTCGAGACTGCTCGACTAGGAGATACCCTGAACCCTCCAAGCTTATATTCGAATCATTCTACACTTCTCTCACACAAGCCTCTAATACTTTAAATGCCGCACTATCGGTATTTTTTCCCATAGTGCACTGCAGCCAATGGTGTTTATGCGTGCGTGCGTATGTCTGTGTGTGTGTGTGCATGTTTTTTTTCTTGTGCAGAAGGACGCGAAGATTTATTGAAATAGTAGTTGCTCGAATAGTTCAGGGAGTCTCGTAGTCGAACAGTCTCAACTTGAGCTCTCTTACTTGATTTATGTTTGCTGTTGAGCCAATACAAATGGTGGATGTTATTATGTGATATGTGAAAATAGCCAAACAAAAATAGGATGTCAAAGAATAACGGATTCGTTACATTTTTTTAACCGGCAGAGCGAAGCGAGACACACACTAAAAATTAAATATTCGTAAGCGGTTTTTGGATTAAAAAAACATTTATTCACTTTCGGAGTTGGATTAGAACTAACTTAGGAATAATTATACAAGTACTATTTATATGAAAGCTGCCGCTGCTGCTATTGGCGTCGCTGCCGCCGTGGTCACTGCTGTTGCTGCTGATAGGTGTCTTGTGACACGATGGCTCTCACGGTGGTGCTGATCGGTGCGCTGACTCGGCGCTCGTGGCGGAAATGCACACGTTGACCAGAATGTGTTTTGGCCAAGTGCATTGATCTTATTATTATTGCTGACGATAGGCTCCCACGGTTGCGGTTGCATTGCTGTTGTATTTTGCTGACAAAGCGCACGTGTCAAAAGTGCATGCACTGGAGCCGTGATATAATTGGGCCGGTGCAATGCCCTTTTGTAGGGTCTGTCGTTAACTTATATGTTGTTAATCAGGACCAGACATATCCGTCAGTCAGGCTGCGTGTCCGTCCGTCCAAGGACGATTTGCTAAAGAAGGCACCTTAAACTTCAACTTCCAGTGGTATTTAGGTGGTATTTAATGCGCTTTCGGACTAGCTTCCGCAATTGGGTAAAGGGTATCGTATGCCAAAGTTGTTTGCTTTGTACGCTAGATTTGTAAAAACAAGTAAGAAGGCTCCAGTCGAGACTGCTCGACTAGGAGATACCCTGAACCTTCTAAGCTGATATTCTAATCATTCTGCACTTCTTTTATGCACATGCATCCACACGCACGCATAAGCCCGTGCTCTGCTAACTGCGCAGTAAGCAGCGACTGCGCTTGGGCTGCGCTGCAGTGTGGGCAATATTATGAGAATTTCTTTGTTGAATAATTTCTTTTGTAGACATACGATCTTCATAAAACTTTTAGAACGTAATCATATGGTGAATTTGTACATTCCAAAGCACAAGTCTCTAGTACTTGAAATGCGTTTTTTACAATTTGGGGGGAAAGGGGGCGTGGTATCCAAAATCTGTAAATGACAAAATCTTTGTATCGATTAACTTTATATACAACGCAAATTTGAAGACTCCAGTTAAAAAAAGTTATCGGACGATTTATCGAAAAAATAAAGCAAACTCGTACTGCGTATGGTACACACGAGTATGCATGCCAAATTTCAGCTCTCTAGCTCTTATAACTTCTGAGATCGACGCACTCATACGGACGGACGGACGGACGGACGGACAGACGGACAGGGCTATATCGACTCAGCTCATCGCGCTGATCAAGAATATATATACTTTGAGGGGTCTGCCACGCCTCCTTCTGCCCGTTACATACTTTTTCACAAAACCATTATACCCTTATTTCCCATTTTCAATGGGTTCAGGGTATAAAAATCAGGATACAATGTTTTCGCTAGGCGCATATTAGCGGATATTGCTTGGCTTAAAATTTGTGTCACATATTTATGATTAAGAATCCAGTCACTCATCCGTACATTTTGCTGACAGCTTCAAGCTTGCGTCTCCTGCTACTCCCCTTTTCCCTTGTAGCTTACGACCCGCTTGGGTTCCATTTCCGAGTCTCTTGCATCATAGTACTGTGTCGTACGGTGTTTGCGTCTGCAACTTAAAATATTTTCCCAACAATCAAACTAAAAATTTCAAAAAGGATTAACAATGAAAAAAGCGGGGAAGCGAGGGGCTAGCCGGGGGAAGAAGTGGGGTAGAGCAACTACAAAATACCCAAAAGGCAACATTGGGCTTACCGGTTTATATATATATATATGTGAGCCCGCTTCAACTAAGCCGTATCATTACCGTCACCGCTGTTGTTGTGGGAAGATATGTTTTCATTTCTGGAATGCCACACACAACAGCAGTAAGCCAACGGAAGGAGTTGGAGCCGCAAAGGTCGGTCTGTGAACGGGACGCGTTCGTGTGCGCTGCACGCTTCGTTTAGCATTGGGAAACATGTTGAAATGGAAAGCTGCCATGGGTACGAAAGTATTCCAAAAATCTACATAACAGCTAACAATGTATGACATCAAGCATAGGACATTTTGTTAACAGCTCTAACACAAACAACATTTTCATTGCCTGACATTTATGCGCTCTGTATGCTCATTTCTGTACCAGACCTTCAGGCTCTAACCATTCTATGTTGGAGCACTGTAAGCCATCTATCTGCCACTACATTGACAATTTGGAATGTTCACAGCGAGACGAAGCCTGGCACTGCCTTACAACGTTTGGCATCTCGCATCTATTGTACATTAATCCGTCGCACAGTGGGACCTTTACTCATTTTGCGTTGTAAAAATCATAACTTTTGAACCAAGCAAGGTATTTCGAAAATTTAAAAAGCATTCGACAGAGAATATTTCAAGCTTGAGCTGAGCTAAAGCATAAGGTGATGTGTGAATAGGTGGCTTCACAGTATTACCTCAAACAAACAAAAATGTGATTTTAGTCAAAAATTACATATTTTTGTATGAAAAAGTAAACTTTTTGATTGAAAATACTTTTCTAACAAGTAAGAAAGCTCTAGTGGAGACTGCTCGACTACGAGATCCCCTGAACCCTTGGAGTAATAGCTATTTCAATAATTTTTCGCGCCTTTCAGCTTACACAAGAAACACACACACACACACACACACACGCACACACAGGCATACATACACACACACACACACGCACGCACACACAGGCATATCCACACACACACACACACACACACACGCATGGGCGGCAATGTGCGCTTACTATGAGAATTTAATTGTTTAATAACTTTTTTTGTGGACATACGATCTTTATGATTAGATCAGATTATGATCATAACATAGATATGCATGTATTTGCCAAAGCACAAGTCTCTAGTATTTGAAATACGCCTTTTACAAAAGTGATGGTGAGGGGGTGAATATAGGGGTGGAGGGTAAATTTTAACAAAAACCGAAATTGTATAAATTACATATAAGCATACATAAAAAATTTGGAGACTCCAGCAATAAAGGTGTAGGAGATATTATTTTATAACTGGTTTTCGATAAGGTTTTTTGTCGATAAAAAAGATCGGGATGAGCTATCGATTAAACTTGATATCCGCGCTGTAATTACGGACATTATAAAAAAAATTAAAGTCTCTAGCTCTTATATCTTCGGAAATCGACGCGCTCAAACATACGGACAGACGGAGGGACGGACGGACAGACAGACAGACAGGGCCAAATCGACTCAGCTCGTCACCCTGATCAAGAATATATATACTTTATGGGGTCTGCCACGCCTCCTTCTGCCTGTTACATACATTTCAACAAAACCATTATACCCTGATTTACCATTGAAAATGGGTTCAGGGTATAAAAATCAGGATACAATGTTTTCGCTAGGCGCATATTAGCGGATATTACATACATTTCAGCAAAACCATTATACCCTGATTTCCCATTGAAAATGGGTTCAGGGTATAAAATCAAATACAGCAGCAACAGAGTCGCGGCAGAGCACGCCTTTTGCTACTTGGGCATGACAAAGGCTCACAGTGTGCCTGTGTTTATTAAAACAACTGCCAGCTGGGTGTGGAGCGTATAAACAAAGCGACGAAGGAGGACGTTGGTGGCTTACCGTAGTATTTTCACCACCTGCTTCACGAGCATTTTGATCAACATATGCACAATAATAAAGCTGATAAACTTATCAATGATTTTCGTCTCTCTAATTTCAGTTTTTTGGCAACAATAATGGTCAGCACAGCATTGACAACATTGGCTGGACAAACAACTAGTAGCACTAATCATCATCACCATCATCATCATCAGCAGCACCAGCAGCCACAGCAGCATCAACAGCAACCGCCTCATCACAGCAGTAACGGTAGCAGCTATAGCAGCTACCAGCGCCTGCAAGCCCCAGCAACAACAGGAGCATCATCTACAGTCGCAGCTGGCACTCAGCAACGCAATTATTACGCGCACAACGGATTGGAGAACGACTGTGACAGCAGCAACACCTCCAACAGCAATTGCGGCTATCAACCACAGCAGCCATTGAATTTATCACAGGCGCTGCTCTCGCCTTCGCCACCGCTGGACGATCAAATAAATTTGCTATTTCCCAAGTGCCGACCCAAACAACAACAGCAGCAACAGCTGTCGAGCAGTGGCAATCGACAGCAACATGAAGACAGTGTTGATGTAAATTTAAACAGTGCGAACAACACAACAGTAGCAGCAGCGACTGCAGAGATAACTGGAAGCAGCTCACCCGTTGTTACATCCATCAACACGCTTAGCTACTATAAAAGTGTGAACATAATAACGCAGTCTCCTCCACCGCATTCAGCTTCGTCCCACTCTTCGGAATCGCTGTCTTCGGTCACGCCGCGCATTTCGACAAATCCATTTTTGTGCGCACCATTGACACCACCAACACCGCCAACTGTTACATCGAACGGGGGCGATACGGACGTCGACGGTATTCTCTTAACAGAGGACGAAGGCTTACACCAACCGCCACAGCAGAAACCGCTTATTGAAGAGTCGGTGCCACAGACGGCCTATCCTGCTTCCTTCTACTATCACACGGGCGATACCAGGCGTAGCCACAGCTATACAGATATGCCGCGAAAACGGAATAGCGCTATATCAATCAACAGGCAACACCAACATCATGCGCTGCTTAACGGCATCAGCAACAACAACATCGGAAACGAAACTGCATCGAACAGTCATAATCCATTTATTAAGGAGCACTACTGGGAGTCGCCCACAACATATGCTAGCTCGTTGTTGCACTCACCTACGGAGTATCATGATGAGCTTCAACAGAAGCAGCAGCAAGAACAGCAGCAGCTACCGCAACACACGTCGGCACGACGACCCTATCATCAGCAAAGGGAGCAACTCGCGCCACAATTATACAGCATCGGACAGAGGCAAACGCAAACCCAAGCGCTGTCGCAATCGCAATCGCAGAATCTTAAAGCGCCACACGTATTGCGCGCGGGTCGCAGTCCCGTTACTCACAACTTGTCAGCTGTTGATTTTGGCACGCAACATCAACCGACGCTTAGCGGCAGCAATCCGTGCGCCGAGGGGCTAACTCCATTGGCTAGCCACTATCTGTATGGCAGCAAATCGTCCCTGGATGAGCATCCAACCGATTGGGAGCCACGTGAGCAGCGTAAACAAAGGTTGCGTGAACGCGAAAGAGAACAAGAACGAGAGCGTGAGCAATCGCTGCTGGAACAACAGCAGCAGCATCTTCAGCTGCAAGATGCGCATACAACACGCGATAATCACTTGAGCCACCTTGCTTCAGCCCAAAAACATGAACAGCAGCAGTGCAAACGGCACGTCAATAACGACGATCGATTGATCAATAGCACTGTCAATGAGTCAGCTGTCAGCAGCTATGGAGAAGCCGATACCTCAGAGAGTTGGCAGCGTAAGTATCTGACAGCATCTAAATAACTTTCGTTTCTGATCCCTAATAAGAATATACTTAATGAACTTGGGTCTAACCCTGAGTAAATTTCCTCAGTTTCTCGTCCCCTTTGGGGAATTTATATACTAACTAGTTGTCCCGGCGAACTTCGTACCGCCTAACAGTCTCTATATATATAAAACAAAGTAGAGTTTGTTACAAAATTCACTGTTGTCAAGGCTACTGAGTATAAATGGAAATTTGAATCTTTAGGGAAAAAACCGCGTTTTTCAAGTATTCGTCAAATTTTTTCAGTATTTTAAAGATCTACTGATCCGCCTCGTGGCGGAGACAAATCCAACAAATCAAAAACCATGAAAATTGGTCCAGCAGATCTCGAGTTATAAGTGCTAAGACACTTTTACACAACTCTCTTTTATATATATAAATAATGTTAGGCTTCAGTTGCTTGGTTTGGGACTGCAAAAATGTTTGAGTTGGAGTTAACTGCCCTTATGCATTTAAGCCCTACCCGTCTATTAGCTTGCATTTATGAGGATGACCACGAATTCATTAAATTGAAGCAATACCGCCAACAGATTGAAGGGCCTGCCCAAAATGTTTATGAGGTCCAAAGTTAGTTCCGAGATGTCTACAAAACTGAATTCAATATTAACTCCAATATTATCCTTTCGCCACTCATTCTCATGTTTTTTTAACAGATCTACGCGTAACGACCGAATCAAATGCCCTGCCTCCGGAGCAGATCAAAAGCAGCAAACAGCAAACCGCTAACAAAACACATCCAGGCAGCCAAGGTCGCGCTCATGTCATGCTTGAGCCCCCTACGCGACGCATGGTCGATGATGACGCAGCCTATCGAGATGGCTGGCAGCTGGAAAGTAACTACACAATGGCCGTGGAGTCGCGTCATGGCATCATAGGTGAGTAGGCCAACCATGCACCCATATATACATATATGTATATATTAAATCGTGTAATCAATTGGTCTCACAATGTCCAGAATACGAGGGCTCCCCCAGACGCATTGGCATTGCGACCAGTAACAGTCCCGCTGCAGACGAGCCTGAGCCAGCAGTTGACACAATAAAAGCAACTGCAGCTACGCCAACAATGGCAGCTCTGCAAACCATCAGTAGCAAAACAATTATGGCCAACTCATTGCAGAGGACCGCGGCTCATGCAGCACTTGCTGCGTTTGCCCAATGCCAGCCGTCGCAACAGTCACAGGCAAATCCAATTCGCCCCGGCTTTCCACAGGTAAAGTTTGTAATTTTCAAAAGCCCCTTCAGTGTTCATATATTATTGCATATATTTTTGCAGCGCATAATATCGCCACCGCGTGAGCTGCGCAGCAGTTCCCCCACACAGCAGCAGAAACAGTATTATAACTATGGTAGCAATCATAGCAATAACAACAACAACTACAAGGCAGCATGCAGTGACAACAATGCCGAAGATACAAGCAATGATGTCTCTGAAATTGGCACCATATCCGACTTAACCACGCCAGAGGCACTCATTACGGCCACGGCCAACGAGTTAACGAACTGTGCGGCCACTTCACCGCCACTTGCAGCAGCAACACCAACCACGGTAACAGCCACAGCCACAGCAACAGCAACAGCAACATTGGCGGCAACCACAGCAACAGCAATCGCCAGCAACTCTTCGGCCATCGGTACAACACCAGGTCCATTAAGTCTGCATACCAAATCATCAACATTTGATTACCTCTACGAATTTTCTGAGACGCGCAAAGTACTAGAAGAGTTCTTCAAGTGTCCGTCGAACGACGAACAGCCCATATTGGAGAATGGCAGCGATGTGGACAGCATTGTACGTATACAAGAAAGTTATTAAGTTAGAGTGCTCTAGTCGAGCTGAGCTGATATTCAAATAACTTTACGCCTCTTCTATGCACACATACACATACACACTCTGTAAAGCGAGCTCTGCTCCTTATATGGAACGACTATCTCTGTGGCAGGCGTGGCAGACCCCATAAATTATATGTATGTATATACTCTTGATCAGGGCGATGTCCGTCCGTCCGACCGTATGTATGCATGCTTCGATCTCAGAAGATATACAGACTAAAGACTAGAATTTTTTTTAAATGTCCGTATATAGAGCGCGGATTTCGACTACGAAATCCCCTGAACCCTTCTAAGAATTGATTTGTCTATAATTATTCGCGTCTTTCTGCTTACACGAGAAACACACACACAGCCACACATAGGCATGTACGCATAAACATGCTTGGACTGCAGTGTGGGCATTATTATGGGAACTTAATTGTTGAATAGCTTTTCTTGTTGATGGACTATCTCCATGAAACTTTAATTGAAATGCGTGCATGCAATGCACAAGTCTCTAGTATTTGAAATACGCCTTTTACAAATTTGTTGGTGAGAGGGTGGATATAGGGATGGGGGTTGAATTACAACAAAAATCGAAATTTAATAAAATACATATAAGTATACACTTAAAGTTTGGAGTCTGTAGCTCTAAAGATGTAGGATATATAAATTAATAACTAGTTTTCGATAAGGTTTTAAATCGATAAAAAAAAAAAAAGAGTAGTTATTAATTTTGGAAGAAAACTCGATATGCGAGTGATATACACGGACCTAGGAAAATTCATGTCTCTAGCTTTTATATCTTCTGAGAATGATGCGTTCATACATACGGACGGACAGACAGACAGGCGGACAGGGCTATATCGACTCAGCTCGTCGCCCTGTTCAAGTATATACATACATACATATATACTTTGTGGGGTCTGCCACGCCTACTTCTGCCTGTTACATACTTTGATTGAAACCATTATAACCTGATTTCCCATTTTCAATGGGTTCAGGGTATAAAAATTGCTAACTCAAATTCAAAATTGCTAATGACACTTAATACTTTTCTTTTTCATAGTCGAATAATTTTATAAATTTAAATTTGTTTCTTTTTAAATAGCCCTCAAATACATATACGCAAATACATACATATGTATATATGTAAGTCTGCACGCATAGCATCAAGCATTCCAGTCTTATACACGCGCTCATTTGTATGTGTGTATGTATGTACACATTAATGCGTACTCTAGCATATTCTAAGAATATCGTTGCGATTGATTTGTCTTTGCATTGTTTTTGAATTTCCAGCCGCTACACTGGCTTTTCTTTGCTATGTGGCGTCATTACAATAATGTGATTTTGTTTTACCTAGTATTACCCGAAACGACGCAGTGGTGCTGTAGGCAGAAGCGCCGGCGATCTTTATTTTAGATATTTCGACATGAACATGCTATTCGGCTTGGGTGCGAGTTCAAATACCGCGGAAAACTCGTTTTTTAAAATTGCAAATTTTTTTTGTTATTTTAGTTTTTTTATATTTTATTAATTTTATGAAAATTTTTCCTTCCGTGTTATCAATGCTTATTAAGCCTATTTATGTGTACAAATACATAAATAGATGGCTGACGCATATAGATGCCGCAATTCGGGATTCGAACCGCGACTTCTCGGTCGAGCGTTATGCCGTTAACACACTACGCCACCTCACTTTTGGAAGCTGCACTGGCAAAACTCAAATAGAATCACTGCTGCAGCGCCATCTATCAAAACTAAACCAAACTAACAGCTGATGTGATTCAAAGAATGTTCCAGAAGAAGTTTGAATGGATGTGTGCACACGTATACGATGCTGTTGTAGCTGCTGCACGTGCGTTTGTTAATTGGCCAAATATTTGATGATTTTTAATTAATTTTTGACTTAATGGACTTTAATGAAACTTTCAGCATATGATCTACATATTATATTGAATATTTAAGAAATTTAAAAAAATGAAAAATCATTCACAATTAGCTATAGCGGCATCCGACTTGAACTTGAATGTTTTTATTCGATAAAAACATAACGGGATGTTTTATCGAATTTTAAAAGCAATTTTAAAAAAAAGCATCTGCGCTGTATATAAGGTCATTTAAAAAAAAAAAATTGAAGTCTCTAGCTCTTATATCTTCTGAAATCGACGCGTTCAAACATACGGACAGACGGACAGGGCCAAATCGACTCAGCTCTTCGCCCTGATCAAGAATATACATATATACTTTGTGGGGTCTGCCAAGTCTCCTTCTACCTGTTACAAACATTTCAACAAAACCATTATACCCTGATTTCCCATTGAAAATGGGTTCAGGGTATAATAAATGTAAGGGGGGGGTGCTAACCTGATGACGCGCAGTGTACATAAAAAATATCCTCTAAGCTTAATAAAATAAAATAATGGAGATAATACTAATCGTGTTATAATTTAATAATAAACTTCATCATCCCTGAGAACAGCACAACATTACCACAATTAGTGACCCCAATACATCTCCAATGGTGACCCCTATTTCAAACACGCGCAGTTAAAATCTACGAGTGATCTCAAACAAGTTTCTACCAACAAAGAAGTGCAACAATTTCACAATTCGACACAACTGTCTCGACATTTACACACACATAGCCAAGACGCGCTATTTCATAACGAAACGCACATAATCAACTACGCAAGAAGATGGCCGACGAAGAAAATTCAACCAAAGCAGGGATAAGCACAGAGATACTAGAGATACTAGATTCTAACATGAATGCCATTTTAAGCAAATTGCCATTCCCTCAACTAAACTCAATAGCATCTATCGAAATGTTTTTCATCAAACTCGAGGGCTGGTTTGCGCTGCAGGGCATTGGCATGCGTAAAAAACACAAGAAGTACACTGCCGTTGTAAGTGCATGATCTGGTAGTGAGCGAGGCAACTTCAAATCCATACACCACACTGAAGCAATCGATTCTCGCCAAATTCGCAGAATCTGAAATGGTACGTCTCGATAAGCTCGCAACTGGTATTCAACTCGGCGATGGACGCCCTAGCCATCTGTTAAGTTAACTATAGCAAACAAATGCCACTAATGACGAATCTGTTGTCCGTCGTTGTTGAATCACCTGCAGCTCGAGCTGTTCCAACGATAGGCATTCTTGAAAGTGCACCAAACACCCCACTCAGTCAACTTGCAACCACAGCTGATATTGATTCACTCAATTACTCAGGCGACCACATACAAGTGGTAACATGCATCAATTCCGAGGATACGTCATTAGGGACTCGCATGAGTCGATTAGAAAAACGCATAGACGATCAAGAAAGGTGTCTTCAGGAGATAAGCAAGAAACTTTCACAAAGTCTAGCCAACAATAACAACAATCGTCGATCTCGCAGCCGTGGTCGATCATCAAGCAATCGAAGTAATACTCCGCAACCGAACAACGCAAACCAATATTGCTGGTACCATAGCAAGTACGGCAGCTGCGCTCAGCATTGTCAAGTTCCATGCAACTTCAAATCAAACAACAGCGGGACAAAAAACTAATCACCACCATCGAGGTTTCAAAAGGCAGCGTCGATGGACAACCCCAACATGCCTTTCAAAATAGCCCAAAACTGAAGGTTGAAGTACATAGTATTTCCACTTCTAATCGCTTGTTTATTCCAGATGCTAAAGTTCTTCATAGACACCGGTGCAGACATTTCTGTAATACCTACCTCAACAATAAGTCGATGCTTAAATATCTGCAAGGAGAATCAATTTTTTTGCAGCCAACGGATCTACAATAACTACGTACGGCACGACTCGCCTTACACTCGACCTTGGCTTGCGTCGTCCCTTCACGTGGAACTTCACCATAGCAGACACTACAATATCAATCCTATGATCAGACTTCATACAGCACTTCAACTTGCTCGTCGACATTAAGCGAGGAAAATTAATCGACGCGCAAACACTACTTGCACGTAGTGGCATCTGCAGTCTACAATCGCTAACCACCGTCAAAACGTTTGACACATCCTGCCAGTTCGCCAAGCTATTGAAAGAATTCAAGGACATCACTCAGCTCAACTCTGCAGCACCCAAGCCGACAACATCGGATGTCACTCACTGCATTGACACCAAAGGGCCTCCCACTTTTCCAAAGCTACGTCGACGAACTCCAGACAAATTCAAAGCAGCAAAAGCTGAATTCGAATATTTGCTAAAAATCAGCGTTTGCCGACCATCAAAAAGCTCAAATGCATCTCCCTTACACATGGTACGCAAACCCTCAGGTGATTAGCAACCATGTGGCGATTACAGAGCTTTAAACTCACAGACAGTTCCTGATCGATACCCGTTACCTCATATACAGGACTGCACCTATATTTTTTATGGCAAGAAAATATTGTCAAAAATCGATCTCAACCGTGCCTTTCATAAAATTCCAATAGAACCAGGCGATATCCCTAAGACAGCTATAACAACACCTTTCGGCTTATTCAAATTCACATATATGACGTTTGGATTATGTAACGCTGCCCACATGGATTAAAACAGGTTTTCGAACGACTTCGACGCTATCACCTCACAATTAATCCTGGTAAATGTAGTTTTGGTCAAGCTTCAATCAAATTTCTGGGACATAACGTTGACGCCAATGGCATTACACCTCTGCCAGACAAAGTCAAAACGATAATCGATTTTCCGCATTCTGGCAATGATCAATTTCTACAGAAGATTCTTGCCAAAAGCCATCACACATCAAACGCCACTGGTACAGCATATCCCGGAAAACAAGAAGAACGATTCTTCACCCATATCCTGGACCTGGACCATCAAACACTTTGAGGAATACAAACAGCCATTAGCCGCTGCAGCTTTACTGGTTCATCCATCACCTGACGCTAGTCTTTCACTCAGCACGGACGCAAGCGACACAGCAGTTGGCGCTGGAATTCATCAAATTATCAACGAAGAACGCCAGCCATTAGGATTCATCGGCGTTAAACTCTCAGACGCACAACGCAAATACAGCACGTATGACCGTGAATTACTAGCTATCTACCTCAGCATGAAACACTTTCGCTACATGTTAGAAGGACGAATATTCGATGTGCGCACAGATCACAAGCCATTAGTTTTCGCTTTTACGCAAAAGCCTGAAAAAGCTTCGCCTCGTCAACTTCGACAATTGGATTTCATAAGTCAATTTACAACATCAATTCAACACATAGCTGGTATTGAAAATACTACAGCAGATACATTATCTCGCATATCGACAGTAGATTCAAATATTATTGACTACAATAAAATCGCTCAAGCTCAAATCAACTGTTCTGAACTGAAGACGATTCTCAAAGACAAGACTACAACTTTACAACTAAAGTCAATAGCTTACCTCACTCTTCAACTCCGATCATATGTGATTTCTCCACTGCCACTATACGTCCATTTATTCCTCAGCCATTGAGAAATAATATTTTCAGCAAAATGCACAACATTGCTCATGGAGGCGTTCGATCAACACTTCACATTATTAAGCAACGTTTTGTTTGGCCCTCCATGCACACCGATATAAAAAATTTCGTTAAACATTGCATACCATGCCAAAGCTCAAAAGTTAGACGTCATGTTCACTCACCACTTCAACATTACGCACTCATATCTCAACGATTCAAGCACATTAACTTTGATCTGATTAGACCTCTGCCCCAATCAGGATAATACAGCCGCAAAATCATCGATCGCTACACCAAGTGGCCAGAAGCTGTTTCTTTTAAAGATATACAAGCAGAAACAGTTGCAGCAGCACTAGCGGGTGGCCCAACAAGTTGCCAATCATATTGTTAGGACTACGATCAGCACACAAGCCCGATATTCAAACATCAGCCTCACAACTTGTCTATGGCACAACGCTAGGCCTGCCAGGAGAAATTTTCCACACAAATAGACATTTTCAACCACAAACAGATTTCGCGCAAGAGCTAACAAGGATTATGACTGATCTGCGTCCAGGTCCAGCTGCCAACCATGACACTTCTAAGCCATTCTTTTTCAAGGATTGAGCAGAATCGACACACGTTTTTCTACGTACAGACACAGTACGCGAGTTATTGTAACCACCATACGATGGCCCTTTTGAAGTAAAAAGCAACCAGCCAAAGTTCTTCAACATTATTATCAAGGGACGAGACATTAAGATTTCAATTGATCGCCTCAAGCCTGCCTACATCAAATCAGAAGGATTCACACCTGCCACCGCAGTTAAGCCAGCATCATCACCTTCACCACTGCCAGTTCCCCCAACAGATTACAAATCAACCAACTGGAAGACCTCGCCGCACAATTAGATATCTCGTTCGCTTCACAACTTGAAGTCTAGGAGGGAATACTGTGGCGAACTGGCACCACGCTTATTCTTAATCGATACTATCGATAATAAACAATTACTCAATTTACCATCATTAGTTAATAAGAATTGTGACACTAACCCTGGTTAGTGATTGTGATCTTACTCTTAAGCTTTAGCGCGTCTCATTACACGTTCATATATGTATCTTAACATAATAAATATCCTATGAGCTTAATCAAATACAATAATGGAGATAATACTAATCGTGTTATAATTTAATAAACTTCATCATCCCTGAGAAAAGCACAACATTACCACAATTAGTGACCCCAATACATCTCCATACCAAAAATTCAGAACATCGAATTCTGCACTATATGGTATATTAACATTTTCATAGCATTAGGTGGTATAATGTTATCAATTTGTTCAGTGTACGATGTGCAAAATATTAAATTTATCTGTACATCTTTAAATATATTTTTAACAACTTAGAATCATGGCATCATTTCTTCAACCACCGCAAGTCGTATCTGTGAAGTTTTATAATATTATATATGTTTTACCTGACACTTGAAATTGAGTTAAGCATCTCAGCAAAGCATCTGACGAAAAATGTAACCCACTTGCGCATTGGCAAAGAAAGCAATGCAAAAAGGGCCAAGTTCCTAAATTTCTTATTTCCTATCGAATCCTTAGAAACATGCCTCTCAACCCAAAACTTTGTGGCGTAGTTTCCTACTGAATTGGGTGAATGTTCTTATATTGGTGCTCAATACTTTCAATGTTCTCCAAATATATATACATATGTATGCATAAAAATGAATCAACATTTTGCACTATTTGAAAATTTGTCGGCAACCTTTAACACATAAGTTCTTTGATAGCGTGCAAAAGAGTTGCATACATTTTTAAATTGCTTTATAAGCTCTGTTTCATTTACATAGAATGAACAAGTTCGATATTGTTGTTCACAATAAGTTGCTCTGAATTAAATATAAATCATACCCTAGTTTAGTTAGTTCCATATTATTACCGCTTGGTTCGTCCATTGAAAATTGAATTACTGAACTATTTTGTTTTAATTCAACTACAATGAAGGAAACTTCATTCTTCATACGAATTATCCCTACAAAATACGAAAATTTCAATAAATAAAAAAAAAAGCGAAAATAAAGCAAATTAATCTTTAAACAAGTAAGAACGTTGCAGTCGGGCGTTACCGACTGCGGAATACTCATTCACATCCCATCAACAATTTAGTAGTTAAGTTTCGCTCTAATACTGTAGAATATACAGGTTTTTCCGATTTGCCACGCCCCAACTGAGCGTAGACACCTCATTTTTGGTCAGTTTTTAGAAAGAGATAACGGTACCCTAACTGCAAAGTTTGAATGCTTAACCTCAAAAAATGTGAAAATTACAGGGTATTTTTCGATATGCCACGCCCCTAAAGAGGCGTAAAAATTATTTTTGGGGAATCGATAGAGGAGGCTACCAGTAACTCAACTATCCAAATTTAAAGCTTCTAGCTATTATACTTTAGGAGATATAAACTTTTGTGGTTTGCCACGCCCCCCTGTGGGCGGACATATATCCGACAAAACTTTTTGGTCGAGGGTGATCAGTCCGAGTATATATACAAAATTTGAGGTCTCTGCCATCAGCAGTGTCCAAAATATAGGAGAATTTAAAAAATCACTATATCTTCAGGTCCGATTTGCCACGCCCCCAATGGGCATAGACTTATAATTTTATCTTTAGACTTTATAGAGTCATATCATTAGCTGACGTGCAAAATTTCAGCATTCTAGGTTTACAACTTTAGGAGATACAGTTTTATCCGATTTGCCACGCCCCCAATGGGCGTAGATATATCCGCCATAGCTCGTGATCTTGGGTGGTCAACGCGGACCTACATACCAAATTTCAGCTTTCTAGCTCTTTAACTAACATGATTTCTGGTATATCGGAAAATGCATTTTCCGATTTGCCACGCCCCTAGAGGGCGGATTGGGAAAAATTTTAACACTTTATAAATCGGAGATATACACGAGTATGTGTTCCAAATTTCAAGTCTCTAGCTTCAATAGCGCCGAAATAGATTGCGTTCATACGGACAGACGGACAGACGGACAGACGGACGGACGGACAGACGGACAGACGGACGGACGGACAGACGGACAGACGGACGGACAGCAAGACGGACATTGCACAAAACCAATATACTGATTCACTTTCGTGAATGAGTATAAAAATAAAGAAAATTCTCGCTGCCCGCTGTTTTGGAATTCTTCCCGCAATCGGCTTTTCAAAAAAGCCATATTTGACGGGAAAAAAGCTGATTTGGCAACACTGATGAATACATTCATGCAGATCTGTAGTATCCATACATATGTATATAGTATCTGACCAAAATCATAGTATAATTATACATTAAATTTGTATTTATGCAGGATATACAGTACGAGTTTCACAGAAACTTTGAACGTGACGAAGAGGAGAATCTGGATGAAGACGAAGACGAGGAAGATGATGTAAACGAGGAGGTCGAGGATGAGGATGATCATATCGAGCAGGATTATCGCCAGCAACAGCAGCAGCAACATCAACAGCAACAACTACAATTGATGCAACAGCCGCTCACATCCGATCGCCATGTTGGCACATCTACACAGCCGCAGTTGCAGTTGCAGTCGCAGTTACAGGCGCAGCTGCAGTCACGGCCAGCTCAGATACCACGACATTACAGCGGCAGTCCACTAATGCGGGACTTTGACTTTTTCCTCGAAACGGCAAGTCGCAGCAGCGGCGAGCGAGAAGGCGAACAGGATGGGCTAAATCACAACCAGCTACTGAGCACCGGTAGTGGCAGCGGCTTGGGCCAAAGCGGGGGCCAGTGCGTGAGTGTTGGCCTGACAGGCACACATAACTATCGCTACTCGCCGGAGACCACCGACTATGACTCTAACTGCGGCGACCTTGACAGTGAGTATCTTGCTAATGATCTATCCTACAAGTTCTTTAGCATTTATTTTCCAATCTGTATCACAGGCCTCTCAGGCGAGATGAATGGCGGTTTGTCTACATCCTGTTCAAACTATGCCAAGTACTATGCCTCGGCCATGCCCGTTTTGGAGGATGGCCTCTCTTCGGGACACACCAGTGACACAGAGAACAATAATAACAAGAACCAAATACAACTGGGTGTCCAAGCAAATCCGAGCCATATACAAGGACTAAGTCAGAGTCAGGGTCAAAATCAAGGCAATCTCAGCACAAGCACCAGCATTGGCGGCGGCATTTCCATGCTAATGGACATGCAACGGATCTCAACTAACAACAGCCTAAACAGCATGCACAACCTAACCGTCTCCATAGACAGCATTGGGGTCGGCCATCAGCTCAGTCACACGAGTCCCAGTAACGGACACGTCAAGCAATACCAGCAGCAACCATCACATCTGTCACATCAACGAGAACTGCTCGGCCAGAGCCCCAGCAACAATAGCAATAGCAAAGTGTTTAAGAGCATAGATCCAGAGTTGGACTCCCTCTACTCTATCAGTAAGTAGATAGTAAGATATTAGTCTATTTACTAAAAAATACTTAAAGAATGCTTCACAGATGTTTTCCACCGTCCGGACATGGTGCAGATGACGCCCCCGCCACCGGCGCCAGCGCCGCATCGCAAGCCAAACTGCAACACCGATGTTGATCTGCAGCAGGCTGCCGGGCAGGGCAGCAAGGCCATCGGGTCGACGTTGCAACGTAGCTCCCCAACTGCCTGCATAGGCGTTGGTAGCAGTACTGCTAAGCCGCGTAGCGCTGGCAGCAATTGCAGCAACAACGGCGTGGGCGGTGCTGGAACTAGTAGTGGTGGCGAGGGTGGGGCTGGGGCACCTGCGCCACCACCCATACCAGAGCGGAGCAACATGCCTGTGCAACGCTCGCCATCGCCTGTAATGAGCTCGCCCGTATGGCTGTCACGGCATCTGGAAGGAAATGATGGTAAGGCACCGCTCGAATCGAGCTCCGACAACCACTCAAAGAATCACAGCGTTGATGAAGAAGATGTGGACACGGATCTGGAAACAGATCGCCTACTGGGTCATCAGCGCCTGGACGATCAAGGCTACTACGACGAGAACAAGAGCTGGGATCGCAAGCCGCGCAGCTCTCTGCTATCCAAAATATCACCCAAACAACAGCAGATGCCCAGCTCTAAGACGCGTAACGGATACAATGCATTGCTCAGCTCTACTCCCGAACTGGCGCCGCCGGTTCCACCAAAGAGCTCGGCGAGCCTAAGCGGATCGGGGGCTAGCAAGCTGCTCGATCTGGTCAGTGGTGGCATCGGTGTCGGAATTGGCGTCGCTGTTAGCGCAGGAGCCGCGCAGCGCAGCGATTCACGCAGCTCCTCAGAGCACAGCCATAAATCACCTATAAATGTATCCGGTGCTGGGCACGATATATGCGGCATGACAACCACAATAGCTGCTGATGCAATCGTCTCTGCTGTGGTGGCTACTGGCGTATTACCGTCTCATGGTAGTTCCAACAATGGCGGAGACTTGGAGCGGTCGGCTACGGGTATTGCCAAGGCAGATACGGAAAGTGAGGGCATAAATGGCGCGGGAATTGTGGGTGTTGCAAGCAGCGTAGCCAATGCTGTTATAAGTAATGGCACTAGCACTATCAACGGCTCCGCAAACAATAATAATAATAACAACAACAACGTTGCCATTGGCAGCAATAACAGCAGCGGCAGCGGCGCGGGCAGCAACAGTGGCGAGAAAAAAGTTAAAAAGAGTAAGAGCAAAGAAGGTAAATGCTTTGGGTTTATCCATCGTTCAATTGTTGCAATTTTAGTGGCCATAGTGCTCATATAGTCAACCTTAATGTAGACGTCAATATCAATATCCATATGCATATGCTGCTCTTCATTGCTCTATGCTGTACAAAACATATTACAACTAGCGAGAAGAAAGCAGCCGCAGCCTACAACAAAAATCTAAAACTATATCATAAAATTATTACAAAATACATACATAAAAACTTTGGCATGCCGAAGCTCTAATACCCTTTCTGTAGTACAGGTTATATAGCTAGACAAAAATTATGAAAACACATCTATGAGGCTAAAACTATTATCAGAAAGTAAGTTTAAGCGACTTCATCAAAATACTTTATCATACATACATATACCTTACATTGGTACTACACAATAAAACAAGTAAGAGTAATCTAGTTGAGATTGCTCGAATAGGAGATACTTTGACACAAAAGTGTTTTCACATGAGAAACAAATTACATTTTTGTTCTTTGACATTAAAAAAAAAAAAAAAAAAAAACTACTAATTGTGATATTTCAAATTTTTTAAAAATTACATTATGTTTTTCAATTTGTTGTCTTACAAAAATAATTTTAAAAAAATTAAAAAACTATTAACATAGGCTTAAATAACAATAACAACATAAAAGATATTCATATTCAACTGACACGAAAGTGTTTGCACACATGCTATTCTTTATTTCTTCTTACTGCTAAATTCGCATTTACCGTTGTTTTCGGCGATTTCAATGTGCACAGCTGTGGCTAATGCTATGTTCTGAACAATTTCGTCATATTTTGTAAGAATCGATTCAATCTTCAAAACATTTAAACAAATTAAGAATGCCAGGGAAGCGGTTGTTATTTGACATGATTCAATTGGTTTATTATAACCACTCCATAGGAAAACAAGTAAGAAGACTCTAGTCGAGACTGCTCGACTAGGAGATACCCTGAACCCTCTAATCTGATATTCTAATCAGTCTGCACATCTTTTCGACACACATACATACACACGCACTTATTAGAACGCGCTCTGCTAACTGCGCAGTAAGCAGCGACTGCGCTTGGGCTGCGCTGTAGTGTGGGCAACATTATAAGAATTTATTTGTTGAATAATTTAATTTCTAGACGTACAATCTTAATGAAACTTTTAGAGCGTAATCATATGGGAAAAATGTATGTACATTCCAAAGCACGTATCTCTAGTACTTGAAATACGCCTTTTACAAAGGTGATGGTGAGGGGGTGGATATAGGGGTGGGGGGGGGGTGAGGTGTGGGGTAAAATACAACAAAAATCGAAATTATATAAAATACATATAAGTCTACATTAAAAATTTGGAAGCTCTAGCTTCAAAAGTGTAGGAGATATAATTAAATAACTAGCTTTCGATAAGGTTTTTAATCGATAATAAAATATCGGGAGTAATTATCGATATATAAAGAAAAACTTGATATGCGCGTGATATACACGGACCTAGGAAAAAAATTTCTTCTGAGATCGACGCGTTCATACATACGGACGGACAGACAGACAGACGGACAGGGCCAAATCGACTCAGCTCGTCGCCCTGATCAAGAATATATATAGTTTGTGAGGTCTGCCACGCCTCCTTCTGCCTGTTACATACTTTTAACAAAACCATTATACCCTGATTTCCCATTTTCAATGGGTTCAGGGTATAACAAGTAAGAGGACTCTAGTCGAGACTGCTCGACTAGGAGATACCCTGAACCCTATATGCTGATATTCTAATCACTCTGCACTTCTTTTCGGCACACATACATACACACGAACGTATTAGAACGCGCTCTGCTAACTAAGCAGCTATTGCGCTTGGGCTGCGCTGCAGTGTGGGCAACAATATAAGAATTTATTTGTTGAATAATTTAATTTCTAGACGTACAATCTCAATGAAACTTTCAGAATATAATCATAATATTCAAATGTATGTACATTCCAAAGCACAAGTCTCTAGTACTTTAAATACGCCTTTTCAAAGGTGAGGGTGAGGGGTGGATATAGGGGTGGGGGGTAAATTACAACATAATCGAAATTATATAAAATACAATTAAATTTTGGAAGTTCTAGCTCTAAAGGTGTAGGAGATATAATTAAATAACTAGCTTTCGATACGCTTTTTAATCGATAATAAAATATCGGAAGTTGTGCGCGTGATATACACGGACCTAGAAAAAAATTTCAAGTCTCTAGCTCTTATATCTTCTGAGATCGACGCGTTCAGACATATGGACGGACGGACGGACGGACAGACAGACGGACAGGGCCAAATCGACTCAGCTCGTCGTCCTGATCAAGAATATATATACTTTGTGGGGTCTGCCACGCCTCCTTCTGCCTGTTACATACTTTTAACAAAACCATTATACCCTGATTTCCCATTTTCAATGGGTTCAGGGTATAATCAGTGGCAGAGATCGCAGAAATGATTATAAAAAATAAAATGCAGGAAAAATGAAGCACTGGAGCCAAAGCGTTCAACTGGACGACCTCGGGAGTTAACAGGTAGGGCAGAGCGTATTCTGGCCAGGAAAGTTAATGATAACCCCACGTCCAGAACGCTTGCCAGGGAGCTGCAGGAAAAATGTCGTATTGACATATCCCGCGAAAGCGTCCGCAGAGCCCTAAAAAGGAACGAGTTTGCATCCCGAGTTGCGCGGAAAAAAAAATTGTTGTCGTCGGATCATGAGAAAAGACGTCTAACATTCGCCATGATGCATGTGGGACATATGGATTCATATTGGGATGAAACCATATTTTGTGACGAGACGATGATGATGTTGTATTACAACGATGGACCCAGCCGTGTTTGGCGAAAGCCGTTGAAAGCCCTTGAACGGAAAAATATAATTCCCACTATTAAGTTCGGAAAACTTTCAGTGATGGTCTGGGGGTGTATTTCTAGTAAAGGAGTTGGAGAATTGTGCTTTATCGAGAGTACAATGGATGCCAAACAGTATTTGGAGATTTTACGCACGAATCTAGTGTCCAGTGCCCGCAAGTTTGGATTTTTTAGGGAGGGTAAACCAACATTTAGGTTTTACCAAGATAATGACCCCAAACACAAAGCTAACATAGTCAGGTGCTGGCTTCTCTACAATTGTGCAAAGGTGTTGGATACTCCTGCACAAAGTCCCGACCTTAATCCCATAGAGAATCTGTGGGCTGATCTCAAAAAAAGGACAGCTAAGAGAGGTCCAACAAACAAAAGCTATTTGAAAGCCAGTATATTAGAGGAATGGGAGAACCCACCGATGGAATATGTCCAAAAACTAATCAATTCCATGAGTAGAGGGTTGGAAGCGGTCATTGAAGCCAATGGGCTAATTATACTCATTCACGAAAGTGAATCAGTATATTGGTTTTGTGCAATGTCCGTCTTGCTGTCCGTCCGTCTGTCCGTCTGTCCGTATGAACGCAATCTATTTCGACGCTATTGAAGCTAGAGACTTGAAATTTGGAACACATACTCGTGTATATCTCCGATTTATAAAGTGTTAAAATTTTACCGATCCGCCCACTAGGGACGTGGCAAATCGGAAAATGCATTTTCCGATATACCAGAAATCATATTAGTTAAAGAGCTAGAAAGCTGAAATTTGGTATTTAGGTCCGCGTCGACCACCCAAGATCACAAGCTATGGCGAATATATCTCCGCCCAGTGGGGGCGTAGCAAATCGGATAAAACTGTATCTCCTAAAGTTGTAAACTTAGAATGCTGAGATTTTGCATGTCAGCTAATGTTTTGATTCTATAAAGTCTAAAGACAAAATTAGAAGTCTACACCCATTAGGGGCGTGGCAAATCGGACCTGAAGATATAGTGATTTTTCGAATTCCGCTATATTTTGGATACTATTGATGCCAGAGATCTCAAATTTTGTATATATACTCAGGCTGATCACCCAAGACCAAAAAGCTTTGTCGGATATATGTCCGCCCACAGGAGGCGTGGCAAACCGAAAAAGTTTATATCTCCTAAAGTATAATAGCTAGAAGCTTCAAATTTTGATAGTTGAGTTACTGGTAGCCTCCTCTATCGATTCCTCAAACAAATAATTTGTATGCCTCTTTAGGGGCGTGGCATATCGAAAAATACCCTGTAATTTTCACTTTTTTTGAGGGTAAGCATTCAAACTTTGCAGTTAGGGTACAGTTATCTCGTTTTAAAAACTGACCAAATATGAGGTGTCTACGCTCAGTTGGGGCGTGGCAAATCGGAAAAACCTGTATATTCTACAGTATTAGAGCGAAACTTAACTACTAAATTGTTGATGGGATGTGAATGAGTATTCCGCAGTCGGTAACGCCCGACTGCAACGTTCCTACTTGTTTTGATACTTAATATAGTTAATAAAGCCTTATTTTGAATACTTCTTTTTTGTGCAAACACTTTCGTGTCAGTTGAATTTTAATATCTTTTATGTTGTTATTGTTATTTATTAAATAATATTTATGCCTATGTTAATAGTTTTTAAATTTTTTTTTTTTAATTATTTTTGTAAGATAACAAATTGAAAAACATAATGTAATTTTTTTTAAATTTGAAATATAACTTTTAGTAGTTTTTTTTTTTTTTAATGTCAAAGAACAAAAATGTAATTTTTTTCCCAAGTGAAAACACTTTTGTGTCAAACTGTATATGTATGCATCCCAGTGGCGGAAATGCCCCTTAACAAATGGCCGCGTTTTCGACCGGGTGCATCAAATAATTGATTTTTGTAATGCAGAAAGTAATTAGGTGACGAAGTTTATATATAATATATAATGCAACAAGACAATTTATAATACATATGTATATTATCACTAACCACAGAACACATAGACCGGACAAGTAGTCTAAAGCGTTTTGCACACTTTTTTTCGGGAGTTATCTCCCAGACCACTTCGTATTTGCTCGGCATGGGAGATGAACATTGGCGTGTGCCTCATTCAACTTAGAATGGTGTGAACGATTTTGGGTTTTAATTGAAGAATCGCATTTATAGTTAAGTAGATTATTTTATTTCAATGATCGTGGGTTTGCCTATGAGAATGATATTTTTTTAAATGTAGTACTTGATTAATCCCAGTGGGCAAATTGGAATGCGATTTTCGATCCCTTGCACCTGCAGATATACAGGTGAAATTTACCTTTTTAATAAGAAGCATATGTATGTACATACATACATATACTGGCCAAATGGACACATTTTAAAGGGTGCATCAGTTAGATGTCTTACAAATCATGCAATTAAACAAGTAAGAACGTTGCTCCCGGGCGTTACCGACTGCGGAATACTCTTTCACATCCCATCAACAATTTAGTAGTTAAGTTTCGCTTTAATACTGTAGAAAATATAGTTTTTTCCGATTTGCCACGCACCTACTGGGCGTAGAGACCTTCGCTTTGGTCAGTTCTTAGAACGTGATAACTGTACCCAAACTGCAAATAATGTGAAAATTACAGGGTATTTTTCGATATGCCACGCCCCTAAAGAGGCGTAAAAATTATTTTTGGGTCATCATCCGATTTGCCACGCCCCTAGTGGGCGGATCGGGAAAATTTTAACACTTTATAAATCGGAGATATACACAAGTATGTGTTCCAAATTTCAAATCTCTAGCTTCAATAGCGCCGAAATAGATTGCGTTCATACAGACGGACGGACGGACAGCAAGACGGACATTGCACAAAACCAATATACTAATTCACTGAATGAGTATAATAATTCACTTTTGTGAATGAGTAGAAAAATACCTATAAAAGTAATGGGAAGTGCACTTTTTACTTTAGTTAGTCAGCTACTTAACTATAAACGCGATTCTTCAATTAAAACCCAAAATCGTTCACACCATTCTAAGTTGAGGGAGGCACACGCCAATGTTCATGTCCCGTACATACAAACAAACACATTCACACACGCACAGATAAAGGCACATAGGCATACAAATGCTTCTACAAGTGTTATCCCATAATTGAGAGCATCGCATCCCATGCGTACACACAATCAAATGTATATACATATGTGAGCACTTCACAAGATCGACAAAATGCAAAAGCTGGGATTTAAAATTGCTACAGGTAGCAAGAGCTTCGCACACAGGCATACAAATGCTCATAGAGCATGTAGCAAGGGAGAGTGTGTGTGCATGCCCGTCGCAAAATCATATTTTTATGAGCACCAACGATTTCTTACCCTTCTTAGAAATAATCATGAAAACGCTAACATTTTGTATGAACGTGGCGAACGCTTTACAAATTTCGGTATACTCTTCACTCATAAGGAACGAGCTGAGATCGTCGCGAACAATTTTCAATTTTTGTGCGCTGCTGCTATTCGAGAGAGAGAGAATAAAGAGAGGGAGAGAGTGAGTAAGGGAAAAAGAGCGCATAGCCGTGCTTCATTTGGTAATGCGTGCATTTCGTGGCAGCAATCGCAGCACACTGATTTTGTCGTGCCTTATTTTCACTGCTTGAGCCTCAGAAGACCGAGCCGACCAAATACGAAGTTGTCCGGTCTCTTCAGCGCATTTTTTCGGTGTTGAAAAAGTTTGTTCTACATGTCTAGTCTATGTGTTCTCTGGTTAGTGGTATGGTATACACGAATATGCATGCCAAATTTCAAGTCTCTAGTTCTTATAACTTCTGAGATGTAGGCGCTCAGACAGACGGACAGACGGACGGCTCGACTCAACTCGTCGTCCTGATCAAGACTATATATGTATATACATATTACTGTATATACTTTATGGGGTCCTCGATGATTTCTTCCGCCTGTTATATACTTTTACAAAACCATTATACCCCGATTTCCCATTTCCAATGGGTTCAGGGTATAAAGACACGCTTTTAGAAATTTATTTATCAATCAGTACCCTTGCTTGTGTGCGTAACAGCGACACAAATTCTGCTAAGACATACAGTGGGTCTAAAAAGTATTGACACACTTGAAAAATCAAACTTCTAAGAGCTGTAACTTTTTTTGAACACAACTATAAATAAATGAAAGACGGTATTTGTTAGAACCAGGTTTTCTAATATTATTTAACAAAAAAAAAATTAAATTTCTAGTTTGGTTCACTTGCGCAGAACTAAAATATAAGTATAGGCAAAAATTTTCGTCAAAAAAAGTATTGGCACAAAAGGCGTAATCAGTCATTTTCATCGGTAGTCAATCACCCCAATACTTTGTGGGTCCTCCTTTAGACTGAATACCCGCCTGCAAACGCCTCTTCATGATAATTATTGGCCTTGACCTTTCATGATTATGATTATAACATGATTATAACATATGCATGTATTTGCCAAAGCACAAGTCTCTAGTATTTGAAATACGCTTTTTACAATCATGGGGGTGAGGGGGTGGGGGGTAAATTTTAACAACAACTGAAATTGCAAAAATTGCATATTAGCTTACGTTAAAAATTTGAAAACTCTAGCAATAAAGGTGTAGGAGATATAATTTTATAACTGGTTTTCAATAAGGTTTTTTATCGATAAAAAAAAGATCGGGAAAAGTTATCGATTTTTAATGATAAACTTGATATGCGCGCTGTAATCACGGACATTTAAAAAAAAATTTGAAGTCTCTAGCTCTTATATCTTCTGAGATCGACGTGTTCAAGCATACGGACAGACGGACAGACGGACGGACAGGGCCAAATCAACTCAGCTCGTCGCCCTGATCAAGAATATATATACTTTATGGGGTCTGCCACGCCTCCTTCTGCCTGTTACATACATTTCAACAAAACCATTATACCCTGATTTCCCATTGAAAATGGGTTCAGGGTAAAAAAATCCGGAATTCCCGTTGTCCGCTGTTTTGGAATTTTTCCCGCAATCGGTTTTTCAAAAAGCCAGATTTGACGGGAAAAATGCTGATTTGGCTGATTTCAAAATTAAAGAGATTTATGTTAAAATGTATTACGAACATGGCAACCGTAAAAAAAGAAACCCGATTTTCGGTTGCAGGCTGATATTAACTAAAATTCTTGTTTAATAGGTAATAATAATAACATAACAATATTTTATTGTAATTTACTGCCTTTCCTCAAATAAATAAACAATTTTTTATTTTTTGTGCAATCGTTGTGTTGTCGATCCTCGGATATACATACATATATACATATGTATGTATGTAAATATGTATATATTTGGTTTGGGAAGTGCACACACATATGACATTTATATGCACCCAGAATATACAATTACACATGGTTTTATTCCTTACTAACTATCTTACTAATCGACTTATTCTGTTCCATAACAACAACAACAACAATACTCATTCGACCGATAGGCGGTGCAGTGCTCATCGAAGGCGTTCTGTTTCGGGCAAAATACTTGGGCTCCACGCAGCTGGTTTGCGAGGGTCAACCCACAAAATCAACTCGAATGATGCAAGCTGAGGAGGCCGTGTCTCGCATCAAGGTGAACTACCCACATATATTACCTACATATAACTTAAGAATAAACAAAAGTATAATAATTTTATAGTATGATAAATGATGATATAAAATATGTATATAAATAATGCGGATAACCCGCAAAGCCACATATGTATATTTCATTATATTATTTGCTTACTTTTGTTGTTGCTCACTGCAATTCTTAGTGTTAGTTTAGATTTAAAAAGGTTTAGCTTGGGCTCAACTTTAAATCTTAATAACAATCTTTTCGTTCGTGTTTTTTTTTATTATTTTTACATAACAATTTGGAATAGCTTGATTTAATTTTGACTTTCATATTTAACAAAAAGGTCTCTTTATGATATTTATTATTTGAGTCAATATGCTAATAGTCGTTTTTATTATAAATATTAATTTCAATTTCAATTTCTAGCATACAAAAAATAATATGAACATATTATTGAAAGCTTTATATAAATTGACACTGATCGACTAGGAAGAGATCCTTGCTCATAGCTAGTATTTCAATAGTTTTAAGCTTCTTTACTAAATATAATATATCGCATTCCCGCAAAATGATCGTATGTCGAAAATGGAATTTTACAGGAGAACCTTATTTTTATACCCTGAACCCATTTTCAATGGGAAGTCAGGGTATAATGGTTTTGTTGAAATGTATGTAACAGGCAGAAGGAGGCGTGGCAGACCCCATAAAGTATATATATTCTTGATCAGGGCGACGAGTTGATTTAGCCCTGTCCGTCTGTCCGTCTGTCCGTATGCTTGAACACGTCGATCTCAGAAGATATAAGAGCTAGAGACTTGAAATTTTTGTATATAGCACGCGCATATCGAGTTTTGCTTTAAATATCGATAAATTGACCCGTTATTTTGTTATCGATTAAAAACGTTATCGAAAACCAGTAATAAATTTATATCTCCTACACCTTTAGAGCTAGAAATTTTAAATGTATACTTATATGCATTTTATACAATTTCGATATTTGTCAAAATTCACCCCCCACCCCCTAATTCACCCCCTCACCCTCACATTTGTAAAATGCGTATTTTAAATACTAGAGACTTGGGCTTTAGCAAATACATACAGTGACGAGCAAAACTGTAACACGAATTCAATGTTGCAACTTCAAGAGTCTATATTTTTGCTTCTACTCTATAGATGTTTAAGATCTTAATTTTATTTTGTTAGTATTATATTTAGCTGTCTTACCTGAAAATTTGAAATCATTCGGTTGGCTGGAATAATTATAAGAATTAAAAATGCAAAAATAGTCAAATGTTACAGTTTTGCACCCGAGTCATTTTTCAACAAATATATTTATTAATAATTTTTTAATAATGAATACATGGCCCTTTTGATTTTTGTATACCCTCGCACCATTTTAGGAAGGATCGCGCCTCAAATGTCCTTGTTCCTCTCCCACGGCTCTTTCATTCCACTTGGAGCAACCCATAATTCGCAAGCTGCGATTTCACATGACTCCATATATTTTCAATGATATTCATGTCTGAAGAGTATTCAGGACACTTCAGGGACTTGAATCCTTGCCATATTATCCACTTTTTGACCAAATTAGACGTGTTCTTTGAGTCATTGTTCTGCTTTTTTCAGTAGTAAAACCCATATGTTCACCTAATTCTCCCAAATTTTGTTGTAAAGAGATCAGGTACTATGCCGAAACGTTATGTCATCAATTAAAACCAAGACTCCAGCACAATCTTTGTTTATTCTCCCCTAAACCATAAGAGAGCAGCCACCGCGCTTGACAGTTTGCCTTACAGTACTGTTACAGTCAACCGACTGGACTGTGGGAGCTTAAAGCCAGTGCCAGAATGGTCCATATGACTTGAAACTGTTAATATGGTCAGATGAAACAATAAACAACCATTTTGAGTCATATGGATAATCTTGGCATTAGCATAGAGATCCCACAGTTCAGTCTGTTGACTGTAACAGTACAGTAAGGCAAACTGTCAAGCGCGGTGGCTGCTCTCTTATGGTTTAGGGGAGAATAAACAAAGATTGTGCTGGAGTCTTGGTTTTAATCGATGGCATAACGTTTCGGCATAGTAGAAGCAAAAATATAGACTCTTGAAGTTGCAACATTGAATTCGTGTTACAGTTTTGCTCGTCACTGTACATATCCATGATATAATCATAATCTGAAAGTTTCATGAAGAAACTACATCCACAAGAAAAGTTATTGAAAAATTAAGTTCCCTTAGTAAGCCACCAATGCGGGTTGCGCAGCCAATGCGTGTTTATGCGTGCGTCCGTATCTCTGTGTGTGTGCGTGTGTGTGTGTGTGTATGATGTGTGTGTATATGCCTGTGTGTGTATGCGTGTGTGTGTGGGTGTGTGGGTGTGTCTTGTGTAAGCAGAAAGACGCGAAAAATGATTGAAAGAGCTATTGCTCGAAGGGTTCAGGGGATCTCGTAGTCGGGCACTCTCGACTTGAGCTTTCTTAGTTGTTTTAAATTATTTTATTTAAACAGGCTTTTTACTACCTAATTGGCAGCTTAACAAGTTGAACATAAAGGCACGATTATTTACAGTAGAACACTACAGATATTTCAATAACAATTTACATAAACATCAATAACAATTTTGTTAATTAAATCTTCATAAAATATTATTTTATAGGAACCTCGCAGGGAGGTTCTGTGGGTGGCACTTCTTTAGTCTTCTTTTTCTGGCTTCTTTGTTAAGTCTTCTCGCCAAAGGGTTTGGGTGGCCTTCGAGTCTTGCAAGGTAGCTAGCAGCTACATTGTGCGTAACGTCTCCAACTTTGGGGACCTGGAGATCTTTTTCAATGTCCCTGGGACGCATATACCAGGGAGCTTTGCAAATAAGAAGCAAATAGGTGATTTTAATTGTTTTCAAAAAAGTTGAAGTCTCTAAGAAATGTGCTAAACCAGCAAGCACAGCCTTGTTTTTATTTTGGTCAGCGCAATTATCGCAATAAAGGCTCAGACTTCATGTTGTTTTTTTACTCATTCACGAAAGTGAAATGAGTATATTGGCTTAGTGCAATGTCCGCCTTGCTGTCCGTCTGTCCGTATGAACGCAATTTATTTCGGCGCTATTGCAGCTAGAGACTTGAAACTTGGACCACATACTCGTGTATATCTCCGATCTATAAAGTGTTGAAATCTTCCTGATCCGCCCACTAGGGGCGGAAGAGCCGAGCAAATACGAAGTGGTCTGGGAGATAACTCCCGAAAAAAAGTGTGCAAAACGCTTTACACTACTTGTCCGGTCTATGTATTCTCTGGTTAGTGATTAAAGGCTAACATAACAAGTTCTGCAATACTTTCATCTCTAAAATATAGTGGCTGATAGATTTGCTGTTGCGCTTCGCATATATTCGTTACCTTGGTGGAATGCTAAAGTTGAAGGGTCTTTGGCCAAGATAATTTAATAAAATATTAAATAAGAAATAGGATGAACATTGATACGTTAAACTCAATATCAACCATAAGGTAAATGTTTAAAGAATTACAGTCTCATTAAAACAGAAACTAATATTTTTAAAAATTTACATCCGAATTGAGCCGAGATAACAAATGATGTTTTGATTACAGAGTTTTTCTAAACTGCCTCAAATCGATCGCAGCCAAGGAATATTTAAATTATGAGACCGAAGAGTCTGTTAACAGATTTATTTAATCAATCTAAACATCTAAAATGTATAATGCTGTCAACCAGCGTAGATAGTGCAATTTTCAAGTCTAGTGCGCAACAAAAAACAGGGCGTGATCCCATTAAAATTGGAAAATCATCGATAGCTATTGCTAACATCATTGCATCATTGCAGCTAGGATCCTCAAATTACATATGTATATAATTTATACAATTTTGATTTTTATTATATATTTATATCCATATATTGGATACCGGCTTCGAGCTAGCAGCAGATCAGTGCGATTTTCCTATACATGTGCACACACTCATCGTGTATTCTATGCGAACAGACTTTCTAGCCGTGACTATAGTTTTGTCTGATGACGCTCTCTTAATAACCTATTCTATTTTAGCAATTGGCTGGTCAAGCAAAGCAGTGGTGCGGGTGCTAAATGCGACGCAAGTAATGTTAGAGTATGAGGTTCGAACCTCTTCGGTGTTATTTTTTTTTTCATACATATTTCGTTTTTTATAAAACAGATATTTTATTGGGAAGGTGCGCGCTTGAATGGATGACACTTAATACTTTTCTTTTTCTTAGTCGAATAATTTTAAAAGTTTAAATTAGTTTCTTCTTAAATAGCCTTTAAATACATATATGCATATACATACATATGTATATATGTAAATACATAAGTATACATATATACATACATAAGTCTGCACGCATAGCATCAAGCATTCCAGCCTTATACACGCGCTCATTTGTATGTGTGTATGTACATATGTACACATAAATGCGTACTCTAGCATATTCTAGGAATCTGGCTGCGATTGATTTGTCTTTGCATTGTTTTTGAATTTCCAGTCGCTACTTTGGCTTTGCTATATGACATCATAACAATATGTGATTTTGTCTTAATTACTGTTGTTCTGTTGGCAGAATCGCCGGCGATCTTCATTTTAGTTACTTTGACAAACATGCTATTTGGCTTGGGTGCGAGTTCAAATCCCGCGGAAAACTCGTTTTTGTAACTTGCAAATTTTTTGTTATTTCAGCTTCTTTTATATTTTTCAAATTTCATAAAAATGTTTCTTTTTTATTATGAATATCTATTATATGTACAAATACAGTGCTTATCATAATTATAGCCCACCCAGCAACTTAAACTTTGTGCCAGTTTTAACAAAATTTTTAAGGGTTTTCAAAAATAAATTTTACAGCACTTTGTAGAATGGAGCATGTTTAGTAGATTTTATTGAAATTTTAGTTCAATTTATGGAAAGCTAAGAAAGAACCGTTAACTTTTGCTCTGTGCTAGCATTTTTGCTTGCATTTTTGTGTATCATAATTATAGCCCACTGTCGCAAATTTGAATTTATTAAGTGCGGAACAGACTTTTGGTTTTACAGACATTGTAATTAAGTAAATTTAGATGGTTTTTAAGAGATGCCGCGAGGAAAACAATTATCTTATTATGAAAAGGGCCGTATTTTCTCTCTTTTCGAGTCAGGAGAGTCTATTTCGAGTATTTTACAAATTTTGAAAATAAGTCAAAGTGTAATTAAATTTTATTTGGATAACCCCGAAGAATAAGGATCAAGAAGGCGCACTGGGTGAAACCCGTTACTAATTGCGCACGATAAACGCAAAATTATTAAGAAAACCAGCAACAGCTCAACCGCTTGTACAGCTTTGGCCTCACATGTGGGCGAATCTATGTCAGCGATGACTGTTTGGCGAGTACTTAAGAGCTCAGGAATCATAAATAGGTCTAAACAGACCAAAGCATTCATGTTGCTAAGTCGCCACAAGGTTGCAGGACTTGGTTTTGCCGAAGGACATACTGCGACCGATCTGACATACGCGCGTTTGAATCATCGCCTTTTGGCTTACAGTATATTTATAAATTTTTACCCTAACAGGTCATATTTTCTGATGGGAAGAAGTTTAACCTGGATGGTCCTGATGGGTTTGATACTTATTAGCATGATTGGAGGAAGGATCCTATGTTTTTTTCAAGGACAGACTTTGGAGGTGGCTCCGTCATGATTTGGGGTACATTTTTTTCATTTGGTACCTGGGAATTGAAGTTTGTAACGAACGGAATGAACAGTGAAGAGTATATTCAGGCTCTGGATAGTAGTCTTAATCCATATTTAAGGGAATTACGTGAGAAACCAATGGTTTTCCAACAGGATAATGCCTGAATCCATGTGAGCAGACGTACAAAAGAGTGTTTGGAGGAATGTCATGTTGATGTCCTTGACTGGCCAGCATGTTTTGGGGATCTCAACCCGATAAAAATGTCTGGGGTAATCTTGCAATACGTGTGTATGCCAAAAATCGCCAGTTGGGAACAGTTGGATATCTTAAAACGCAAATTCTAAATGAATGACAAAGTTTCGAAAAGGACCTTTTATTAAATTTTGTGGTTTCAATGAGGAAGAGAATTTTTAAGTTAACTAAGGCAAATGGAGGCCGGACTAAGTATTAACATTAGTTTTTCCATCAATCCGCAACAAATTCGGATTTTTTTTACAAAAATATGAATATGGGCTATAATTTTGATACAGAAAATGGTGCTGTTTTTCTTTATTTTTTACTTCTTTTTATGAAATCATTATTAAATCGTGAATTTTAAGTGAAAAAGTTTTTTGCCATTCATAATTGAAATATTGAACTACTCATTTTTGAAGATTTTGAGGAAATATGCCATTTGGGAAAAGTTTTCAGCCGATTCGTTTCAGTGGATTAAAAGTGGGCTATAATTATGATAAGCACTGTACATAAATAGATGGCTGACGCATGTAAATGTCGCAATTTGGGCACTATAAATGCCGATTGCCACGCCCCTAGTGGCCGTAGACGTTAAAATGATTTTTGTGGCATTGATAGAGGAGGCTACCAGTAACATAACTATTTGAAGCTTCTAGTTCTTAAACTGTAGGAGATATAAACTTTTGCGGGTTGCTACGCCCCCTATGGGCGGACATATATCTACCATAGCTCGTTGGACTTGGGTCGGGTATATATACCAAATTTTAGGTCAATAGTAAGCGTTTCGATGTATATTCGTGGGAAGGGTATGAAAGCGTTGATGCGCATACAGCACTTGCAGTGCAAATTGTAAAGCCGAAAATTGGTCGTTGGTCGGTCTTACAGATTGTCATATCCACTTCATACAGATGTACATACATATGTATATTATACAAATTCATGTTTATAAATGCATATATCGATAAAAATTCTGTAATTATATATAATTAAAATTAGTTTACACACATTTTCAACTGAAGAGATGATCGTGGTATACTAATAAGTCTATTAAATGCTATGCAATATATCGGGTAGCGGACTATAAAAACATTAGTGGATATACATATATACATATGTAGACATGTCATACTAACTCAAGATGTATTATTATTTATTTATTATGATTATTGCCAAAATTACTGATGTAAGTCATGAAGGCTCATTTGACAGTCACTCTACAATTGAATCCAAACAAAATTGACAAACTAGTAAATCGCGAGACAATTATCATCCCATCTCATACATACATACACATATGTATGCAAATGTATGTGCTCACTCAAAGGCCAATCAATTTGCTCAGGCAGCAAGAGTTACGCACACAGGCCACAAATACTCACACATGTTTCCAGAGACTGCAAGTGTGTGTGTGCGTGCCCGTCGCGAAATCATATTGTTTATGCGCATCAACGCTTTTATACCCTTCCCACGAATATCCATCGAAACGCTTACTATTGACCTGAAATTTAGGTATACCCTTCACTCAAAGGAAAGAGCTGGGATCGTCGCGAACAAATTTCAATTTTTGTGCGCTGCTTAGTTCGGTGTTTTGAGAGACCATAGAGAGAGATAGAGAGAGAAAGTAGGACAAATAGCGCATAGCTGTGCTTCATATAAGAATGGGACCATTGCGTTTCAGCGCTTGCAGCGCACTGACTTTGTCGTGCAATATTTTCACTGCTCGAACCTCCAGCCACCGAGCCGAGCAAATACGAAGTGTAGTGGTCGACCAACTTAACATTATCTGCTGTAGAAAAGTTTGCTCTACATGTCTAATCTATGTGTTCTCTGGTCAGTGTAAACACCCAACTCATATTTTCGGTTCTGAGAGATATAAAGAAATGAGATGATTCAAAAAATCGATAAGCTATTGTATACAATTGCAACTTATTTATAGTTTCTGTTACAATTTGGATTTTTGAGTTGAATATTATATTATAATTATAAATTTTCGAAAAAAAAAAAATCTATTTACTTACATTTAGTTACTTATTCATAGTTTGCTGCAGTTAACTATCGCTAGAGATACTTGAAAATGAAAACTAATGATAATTTTCTATTATTTTCCATGCATCAATTTGTCGCTCTACATCAACAAAACAATCCAATCTGCTCGTTATGAATGTGATGAATTTGTTAAACGAACCCACGTTATGCCATCCATGATCGAAAAAAACTCGCATACAATAGGCTCTGGTAAGTAATAGTTAAGAACAACTTATTTCAACTCAACATATGATCTAATTTGCTCCAAATTAAACAAGCTTATGGTGATTTAATCTACATATATATTCATTTACTGCTTTGCCTCTAAACAGGCACCCGATGGCGATGTACAGCCCAGTACAGAGGTGGATTTGTTCATCTCGACGGAAAAAATAATGGTGCTAAACACCGATCTCAAGGAAATTATGATGGATCATGCGCTGCGCACTATTTCCTATATAGCCGACATTGGGGATTTGGTCGTGCTGATGGCGCGTAGACGTTTCGTGCCGCAGGATATTGATGATGCACCGAAACCAAATCGCACTCCCAAAATGATATGCCACGTGTTTGAGAGCGACGAGGCGCAGTTCATAGCGCAGTCGATCGGGCAGGCCTTCCAGGTGGCGTACATGGAGTTCTTAAAGGCCAATGGGATTGAGGATCATCGGTTTGTTAAGGAAATGGACTACCAGGAAGTGCTCAACAGCCAGGAAATCTTTGGTGACGAGCTTGAGATTTTTGCCAAGAAAGAACTACAAAAGGAAGTAGTTGTGCCCAAGGCCAAGGGCGAAATACTCGGAGTGGTCATTGTCGAAAGCGGCTGGGGCTCCATGCTTCCCACAGTCGTCATTGCGAATCTAATGAGCTCTGGGGCCGCGGCACGTTGTGGCCAATTGAATATCGGCGATCAGCTAATCGCCATCAACGGACTGAGCCTGGTGGGTCTGCCGCTCTCCACCTGCCAAACATACATCAAGAATACCAAAAACCAGACCGTTGTCAAATTCACAGTTGTGCCCTGTGCACCAGTCGTCGAGGTCAAAATCAAGCGGCCCGAAACCAAATATCAACTCGGCTTCAGCGTCCAAAATGGAGTGGTAAGTGCTGAAAGCTATTAAATAGTAATTCTGATTGAATGACTTCCCCCGATCTGTCTGGTTAACTGACTTACTTTGTAACTAATTAACTGACTGACTACCTCACAAACACTGGATTAAAAGAATCATATCTTGCCTAATTGTGTTCGTGAGGCTGACTGATTGATTTCACAAATGGGGAAGAAAATTCTACTGACAACAATTCCTTACTTTTACTTAAATCTCTAACTACTTATACTCCAAAACCATCGAAAATGACTTAAGAGGATAGAATGTTGTATTCATGTTTATATTTTCTGGTATAGAACTATGAAATAAGTCAATCTAATTATGTCCATTTATTCTTTACATACGGTAGTATATGAATTATCAGTTGTTTTGAGTTTAATTAACTTAAAGTTGTTAAAGCCTGAGCAACAATTTATGAAATTTGAATTCCTGCCAATGCACTATGGTCCAGATTTAGTTTTTTTTATACCCTGAACCCATTGAAAATGGGAAATCAGGGTATAATGGTTTTGTTAAAAGTATGTAACAGGCAAAAGGAGGCGTGGCAGACCCTACAAAGTATATATATTCTTGATCAGGGCGACGAGCAAAGTCGATTTAGCCCTGTCCGTCTGTCTGTCCGTCCGTCCGTCCGTCCGTATGTATGAACGCGTCGATCTCAGAAGATATAAGAGCTGGAGACTTGAAATTTTTTTTCCTAGGTCCGTGTATATCACGCGCATATCAAGTTATTCTCTATATATCGATAACTACTCCCGATATTTTAATATCGATTAAAAACCTTATCGAAAGCTAGTTATTTAATTATATCTCCTACACCTTTAGAGCTAGACCTTCCAAATTTTTAATGTAGACTTATATGTATTTTATATAATTTCGATTTTTGTTGTAATTTACCCCCCCCCCCTATATCCACCCTCTCACCATCACCTTTGTAAAAGGCGTATTTCAAGTACTAGAGACGTGTGCTTTTGAATGTACATACACATTTACCATATGATTACGCCCTGAAAGTTTCATTAAGATTGTACGTCTAGAAATTAAATTATTCAACAAATAAATTCTTATAATGTTGCCCACACTACAGCGCAGCCCTAGCGCAGTCGCTTCTAATACATGAGTGTGTATGTATGTGTGCAGACTGATTACAATATCAGATTAGAGGGTTCAGGGTATTTCCTAGTCGAGCAGTCGATTTTTATACCCTGAACCCAAAGTTTCATGAAGATCGTACGTCCATAAAAAAAGTTATTAAACAATTAAGTTCTCATAGTAAGCGCACACTGCAGCCCATGCGTGTTTATGCGTGGGTGCTTGTGTGTGGATATGCATGTAATTGCCAAAGCACAAGTCTCTAGTATTTTAAATACGCTTTTTACAAAAGTGAGGGTGAGGGGGTGAATTTAAGGGTGGTGGGTAAATTTTAACAAAAACCGAAATTGTATAAATTGCATATAAGCATACATTAAAAATTTGAAAACTCTAGCAACAAAGGTGTAGGAGATATAATTTTATAACTGGTTAAGGTTAAGGTTTTTTTTACGATAAAAAAAGATCGGGATGAGTTATCGATTTTTAATGATAAACTTGATATGCGCGCTGTAATTACGGACATTTAAAAAAAAATTTGAAGTCTGCTGTTATATCTTCTGAAATCGACGCGTTCATACATACGGACAGACGGACAGACGGACGGACCAAATCAACTCAGCTCGTCGCCCTGATCAAGATTAGGGGGGTCTGCCACGCCTCCTTCTGCCTGTTGCATACATTTCAACAAAACCATTATACCCTGATTTCCCATTGAAAATGGGTTCAAGGTATAACAAGTAAGAGGACTCTAGTCGAGACTGCTCGACTAGGAGATACCCTGAACCCTATATGCTGATATTCTAATCACTCTGCACTTCCTTTCGGCACACATACATACACACGCACGTATTAGAACGCGGTTTGCTAACTGCGCAGTAAGCAGCGACTGCGCTTGGGCTGCGCTGCAGTGTGCGCAACATTATAAGAATTTATTTAAAGAATAATTTAATTTCTAGATGTACAATCTTAATGAAGCTTTCAGAACATAATTATAATCTTCAATTGTATGTACATTCCAAAGCACAAGTCTCTAGTACTTGAAATACGCCTTTTACAAAGGAGAGGGTGAGGGGGTGGATATAGGGGTGGAGGGTAAATTTTGACAAAAACCGAAATTGTATAACATGAATATAAGTATACATTTAAAATCTGGAGACTCTAGCGTTAAAGGTGTAGGATATATATTTTTATAACTGGTTTTCGATCAAGTTTTTTATCGATAAAAGAATAACGGGATTAGTCGATTTTTAGTGATAAACTCGATGTCCGCGCTATATATACGGACATTTAAAGACAAGTAAGAAGGCTCCAGTCGAATTGCTCGACTAGGAGATACCCTGAACCCTCTAAGCTGATATTCTACTCATTCTGCACTTCTTTTATGCACACATACATACACATGCATCCACACGCGCTCATAAGCCTGCGCTCTGCTAACTGCGCAGTAAGCGGCGACTGCGCTTGGGCTGCGCTGCAGTGTGGGCAATATTATGAGAATTTATTTGTTGAATAATTTCATTTGTAGACGTACAATCTTAATGAAACTTTCAGAGCGTAATCATATGGTGAAAATGTGTGTACATTCCAAGCACAAGTCTCTAGTATTTGAAATGCAAATTGGGGGAGAAAGGGGCGTGGTATCCAAAATCTTTGTATCCATTAACTTAAAAATAAATTACGCTAAAAAAAACAAAATCAATTTTTCGATTATTCTCGATAAAAAAGTTATCGAATGAATTATCGAAAAATTATGATAAACTCGTACTGCGTATGGCGCACACGAGTATGCATGCCAAAATTCTAGCTCTTGTAACTTCTGAAATCGACGCACTCATACGGACGGACGGACAGACGGACAGGGCTATATCGACTCAGCTCGTCGCCCTGATCCAGAATATATATAGTTTGTGGTGTCGGCCACGCCTTCTTCTGCCATTATACCTTGATTTCCCATTTTCAATGGGTTCAGGGCATAAAAAACCTAATTTGGGCCGTAGTACAATGGTTAAAATTCAATGAAAGTGAACTGACAATATTTCACTTATAGATCTGCAGTCTTCTGCGTGGTGGTATTGCGGAGCGAGGAGGCGTTCGTGTCGGTCATCGAATCATCGAGATCAACAACCAGAGCGTGGTGGCTGTGCCCCACGAGAAGATCGTCAATTTACTGGCCACATCGGTGGGCGAGGTAAGAGCAGAGCACGGAAGTACCTGAATCAGTAAGTCTTATGTATTCTTTATCGTTAACAGATCCTCATGAAAACGATGCCCACATCAATGTTCCGCTTGTTGACCGGCCAGGAGAACCCCATATACATTTAAACTATGTCTATCGATAGGCGATAAAACGTTCTTATTAGCTATCGATTGTGTGCGCTTTGTTTTGTTTGTTGTTTTATTATATTTATATCATTTTATTTATTTTATTGACTACTCTAGATTACATTTTGCAGTGGGAAAGAGTTAAAAACAAATATATACATATATTCAATGACAAATAACACGAGTAAACATTTTGTTCCGATACATGAACTGTAAACAAATAACAAATATATATCTACATACATATATAACAAATATACAATAAAAAAATTTAAAAAGTCTAAGAGTAAGGTTATATAAAATGGATTGCACGCCGGTTTGCAATGCTTAGAACTATTAGTTGCAACTCCTTTGCGATTGCTGGGGAAATTATAAACATATATGAAAAAATATATATACATACATATGTATATTACCAATATAAACACGGTGACCTTCTTGCGAAAACGTCCTTAGCTTAGTTAAACAGCGTACAGAATACAATGATAGTTAAGGCCACAATGCCTTTGCCAACCCCTTACACTCTGACTATCGCACCCTTCCCTAATATCAAATACATAAATACCGTTGCATATAAATACATTTTCAGGAAACGCCCGTATGAAAGCTTCACAGCACATAAAAAATATATACCATGCATTGCTAAAAGCGTTAACGCATATATACACACACACACACACATATTTTAGTGAAATTTATATAAAAACAAGTAAGAACGTTGCAGTCGGGCATTACCGACTGCGGAATACACATTCACATCCCATCAGCAATTTAGTAGCTAAGTTTTGCTCTAATACTGTAGAAAATACAGTTTTTCCCGATTTACCACGCCCTTACTGGGCGTAGACACCTCATTTTTGGTCAGTTCTTAGAACGAGCTAACGGTACCCTAACTGAAAAATTTGAATGCTTACGCTCAAAAAATGTGAAAATTTCAGGGTATTTTTCGATATGCCACGCCCGTAAAGAGGCTTACAAATGATTTTTGGTCGATATTTGAAATTTGAAACTTCTAGCTATTATACTTTAGGAGATATAATCTTTTGCGGTTTACCACGCCCCCTGTGGGCGGACATATATCCGTCAAAGCTTTTTGGCCTTGGCTGGTCAGCCCGAGCATATATACAAATGCTGAATGAGTGCACGAAAAACCCGTAAGCCGAATTAACAATGCTCATATTGAGATGTGTGGCACCGACGCCAAAACGAAAATTGTATGAGTGTGTGAGTGCGATCGTATATGACCTAGACACACAATTTTGTATTGAGCGAAAAAGAATAAATATGTAAGTGTTGGGCCCGAGTATATGAAGTGCTTCGATGAGTATATGAGTTGCGTCGCAGTTTGCAGAGAACAAAAAATAAGAAAAACACGAAGCGCAATGGAATTGTGTGTGTGCAGACCTGACGGTCGACCGACGGCAAATTTACCGTTACAATTTGGTAGCGAAAAAATATTCTTTATGCGTAGCAATGTTTTCATACCCTCGCCACAAATAACGAGGAAACGAAAGGCAATGTAATTTTGTTATACAATATATGTATGTATATACATATATGTTTAATTAATATTGAAATTTAGAATCATTATTTTATTTAAGTCCTCAGGATTAGTAGATACATAGATAATGTTATGAAAACGCTAACATTTTGCATGAGCATGGCAGACCCCTTTCAAGAACTCGATACATTCTCTAAAGGGAAAGGGCATAAAAAGAGACAGAGTAAGAAAAAACTGGCGCACAGTTCGGCTTCATATTAAGATGCGTGCTTTACGCTTGAACGCTCGCAGCGCACTAATTTTGGCGTGAGATTTGTTCACTGCTAGACAGTGTTGCCAACTTTTGTTCAGCAAAAAAAGCTGTTTTTAGTGGGAAGATACTTAAAAAAAAAAAACTGAAATTTTGTGAAAAAAGTCGGACAAAAAAGCTGATGGTTTTTGCTTTGCTTTGATTGATATTTACTTATATTTTTAGTAACTAGAAGTCATGGCTGCATTTCTTCAACCGTGGCAAGCCGTATCTGTAAAGTTTTACGCTATATAGGTTTTACCTGACGCTTAAAATTGAGTAAGCATATCAATATTCATTTTATTGCGTTGTTATGTTTTTACAGTATTGACCTGACTAAAACTTTTCGCCACTTGCGCGTTCGACCATGGCAAGGAAAGCAATGTCATTGCAAAAGTTGCCAAGTCCCTACATTTTTTATTTCCTCCCGAATTCTTATAAGCACACCTCTTACCCTAAGCTATGTAGAGTCTTAAGAATTTCCCCATTGAACTGGGAGAATATTCTTATATTGGTGTTCAATACTTTCAAAATTCTTTGAATAGAATAACTCTAGTATTGGAACGATACTATTTTTATTTACTCGCAAAATATATACATATGCAAGAAACAGAATTTTACACCATTTGAAAATTTGCCGGCAGCCTATTAATTAAAACATATTTAGTTAACACAAACTACTACTACATGTTATCAAATGAGTTGCATACATTCTTTTTAATTGCTTTATAAGATCTATCAGAGAATTTCAAGTTCGATATTCTTGCTTAAATAAGTTATATTAAATAAAATATAAATCATATTTTAGTTCAGTTAGTTCCACTCTATTATCGGTTGGTTCATTCATAGAAAATTGACCTAATTAACTATTTAGTTTTAATTAAACTGCAATGACAAACACTTCTACATACGATAAATCGCTACAAATGATGATAAATTGATCAGTAAAGAAAAAAGCTGAAAAAAAGCAAATTAGTTTTTTAAAAATCCAGAATTCCCGCTGCCCGCTGTTTTGTAATTTTTCCCGCAATTAGATTTTCAAAAAAGTCAGATTTGACGGGAAAAAAGCTGATTTGGCAACACTGCTGCTAGAGGCTCTAGCGACGGAGCCGACCAAATACGAAGTGTTGACACGAAGATATATGCATGCAAAAACTCGAGTGCCTCGACACCGAAATGCTTTGGTTAACTGTTGTATTGCTCTTTACGTCTTATTTATTCTCATTCTTTTTACTTAAGCAGTGAGATATAAGATATTGAGTCCATGCGATCTCCCACACTGTCAGCACATTCTATGCCCATGACTCACTCACTCATTCTCAATTTGAGTGCACTCCATTTTGCTAGGTTATGAGTGTGTGAGGCCATGCAGCTCTCGAATATGTATGTATATATGTATGTACTTATATTTATTTTCTGATTCTCAAGCTCTTCTGGACTTGATTAAAGCTTTCTACTGCACACAACACAACACACACACGCACACACACACAGCTCTTGATACTAGAGCTTCGATTTCAACAACCATTTTCGTCCAAAAATTGTGGTACTACTCTTTAAAGTTTAAACAAGTTGATAGAATGAAAAATGTAAAACCAAAGTTAATAATAAATTATATTCACTTATTCGTTTGTTTTATTTTTCAACTTCAACTTCAAATGCCTACAAAACACATAATATTTATTAATTAAAATTAAAAAAGTGTAAATGATTAAAAAATTACCTATCCGATGAATTATATCAATATATTTATCATAACTAATAAAGATTACACAAAAACCGGAAAAAAGTTTAAAAATAAAAAAACCTAATATTAATGTCATTATGTTATATGTTGTATATTTATATAGCCTAACATTTATACATACATATGTATGTATGTGTGTATTCCGATAAACACACACATATTAGCATAATGTAATATACTCGCTTGACAAAAATATTAAATAGTAAGATGAGTGAATGTAATTAACTATTTATAATTAATAACAACAATGTGCTTAACATATAGAGAAATTTTCATGTTACATGTTTTGGCTTGATCCGGTTGACGGGGCTGCCATGCCCACCAATACAAAAAAAAAATAATAATATATATATATATATATATATGTAGCAGCAGTAACGCAGCAGCAACTATTATAGAAAAGAAAAGAAAAATAAACAAGCAAATAAATATACATATAAGAGAGTAATTGTTTAACTTATTTTCGTGGTGTAAATTGTTCATACATATTTATGTGTATACATTAAGTATGTGTATGCATAAAATGAATGGGTATATTTATTAAATAAATTGCATAGAAATTAAATAAGGAGCAATCATTATTATTTATAAACTAAAAACAACAATAAAGTAAATTATATATAATCGCATGCGTAACAAAAGTCAAACCAACCATTAAGCATAATAAACGAAAAACAACAAAAATAAAAACTTTCTTTTCTTTCTATGTACATATATTCAAAATACATAGGTTGACAGGACTTAAATGATATGTAATTCATTATCAGGAGTCACTAGCCAATCGATTTCGTCGTGCTACACAAATGGAAATAATCTCTCTTTGAAAAGGAAAAAGGGGGAAAAAATTAGAGACAGCGAAAAAGATACAGAGATAGTGAGAAAGAGGGAGAGAGAGAGCATCGATGAAGAATGCATACAGATTTTTCATGAGCTAAGAAATTTAAGAAATGTGCACTTTATCGTAGAAAGTGGACCAAGCGCAAAAATAAATAATAAATAAAATACAAAAGAAAAAGAAATAAAGAAAGCGAGATAGAAAACGCAAAGAAAGCGAGAGAATATAACAGAAAGAGAGGTTAGAGTGAATGAAGACCTTTTATGAATATAGGAAAACACATATATACATATGTATCAATATCTACCTCGCTTTGCATTAAATACAAATTAATGTAGAGATGGACATTGCATGAGAGCCATTACCTTGAAATTAATTTATTTGTATACCCTGAACCCATTGAAAATGGGAAATCTGGGTATAATGGTTTTGTTAAAAGTATGTAACAGGCAGAAGGAGGCGTGGCAGACCCTACAAAGTATATATATTCTTGATCAGGGCGACGAGCTAAGTCGATTTGGCCCTGTCCGTCTGTCCGTCCGTCCGTATGTATGAACGCGTCGATCTCAGAAGATATAAGAGACTTGAAATTTTTTTTCCTAGGTCCGTGTATATCACGCGCATATCAAGTTTTTCTCTATATATCGATAACTACTCCCGATATTTTTATCGAACAAAAACCTTATCGAAAGCAAATTATTTAATTATATCTCCTACACCTTTAGAGCTAGAGCTTCCAAATTTTAAATGTAGACTTATATGTATTTTATATAATTTCGATTTTTGTTGTAATATCAGATTAGAGGGTTCAGGGTATCTCCTAGTCGAGCAGTCTCGACTAGAGTCTTCTTACTTGTTATTTATTTATTTAATTGTTACAAAGAATTAATTCTAGATAGCAAAGTTTGAAGCCAGAGCAACAAAGGCAGACTTATTTTCCTATTTACTCTTTACATATATTTACGTTATATACAATATATCATAATTCTATGTTTAGTTTATTAATTATTTTTATAAAATTTTCTATTTTCGCTTTATTGGGTTTGATCGTTTTGTAGAAGTGTGTGTAATCGTTCCAGATAGATTTAAGAGTTTTTTTAGTTGTGTAGTTAATCAATTTGTTGATATCCTTTTTATACCCTGAATGGGAAATCAGGGTATATTGGTTTTGTTGAAATGTATGTAACAGGCGGAAGGAGGCGTGGCAGATTATTTATCGAAAATCAGTTATAAAATTATATATCCAACATCTTTAAAGCTAGAGTCTTCAAATTTTTAATGTAGATTTATATGTACTTTATGGAA